CTGGCTTGTAGATGCCACCTTCTCACTGGCTCACATGACTTTTCCTTGGACTGTGTGCAGAGGGAGGGAGCTCTCTCTTCGCTTTGGTTTAAGGGCATGAATCCATGTTGGGGGTCCCACCCTCGTGACCTCATCTAAGCCTAATCACCCCCTAGAGGCCCTACTTCCAAGTGCCATCACCCTGGGGGTTAGGGCTTCAATGTAGGGGTGTTGGGGGGACACAAACATTCAGTTCACAGCATCATTTAAACTTTAAAACACATTTTAACGTGTCAAATTTATCAGTCTTTTCTTGTGTCTGGAGTTTGAATCGTAGTCAGAAAGCCTTTCCTTACACCTGTTGAGGAATTCATCCGTGTTTCCTCCTGGTGCTGTTTAATCTCATTTTCTATGTTTAGAGCTTGTTTGTGGTGTGGGGAATGGATCTTTTCATCTTTTCCCAGTGACCTCCACTTGTCCCAATACCATTTCTTAAGAAATAGTCCCCTTAAGAGACAGTGCGGTAGAACGCCTCTTCATCGTACCCGCAGTGTCTGTTCATAGCTGTGTCTCTTGAACCGGCCTCTTGGTGGGCTGCCCTGTTCCTGCACCAGGACCACAGCATCCCGGGGGGCTCTGGAGGATCCTGGGTCCTGTGTGGCCTGTTGCTCTTCCTATTGTTGCTTATACAGCTCTTCCTGCATGTTTGTACTTCCAGGTGGCCTCACCCATAAAGAGAGCCAACGGGCGTTTTTATTAGGGTTGCATTACATTTATAAGTCCATTTAAAGAGAATTGACACCTTGAGGATATCGCGATGTCCTAACCAGGAACAAGGCGAGTCTTTCCATTTGTTGTGGTCTGTCTTTGTGTCTTTCAGGAGTGATTCTTCTATAGTTTTAAAATGTAGATTTTAAACAGTTGAACAGTTCTTATAAAGTTTATTCATAGATATTTAATGTTTGTGCTTCTGTTATAAATAGGGTTTTCTCTTCTATTATGTCTTCTCACTTAACCATTCTGGGTTTTTTTTGTGGATAGTCATAAACAAAATTTACTAGCACTTTAAATGGCTCTCATCATATACTGCACACTGGTTTTGAATTAAACCTTATTTTGAGGTAATTACAGATGCACTTGCAGTTGTAGAAATAAGCAGCGATGTGCTGTGCCTGCTGCCCTGAAGGTCACCTTGTCCTTTGTTGAGCAGAAGCTGATTCTTGGCCCAGCTGGTCGACTTTTGTGCTCACGTCGGGTGCCTTGTGCGTCCTCTCCACAGCCTCTGCCTGTCGCGGTGGGCGCAGCTGCTCTCCTCCGTCCCCCCTGCCGCGGATCCTCACCTAGCACTGTGCCTTTTCTGCTGCCCTCTTCTTGCCCTGTGCTCCGCAGTGCTCAGTGCCCAGCGTCAGGCTTGCTGCTGCCCAGACCCCCATGGAAAGGCAGGGCCTCCCTCACATCCCTCCCCTGGGCAGTCACTGCCCCGGGGCCTGGAGCAGCTCCCTATTGATCTGTGGCCAGGCTGTGATCCACGGAGCAGAGGGGCAGTGCCCACAGGACAGGATGCCAGGCTGCCAAGCCCCACCCCACAATCAAGGGCTCCATAGCACTCGGCTGGAGGTGGGGGCGGGAAGCAGACAGGCAGGGGGCAGCTCTCCCGAGGAGGAAGATGCACAGGCCCTGCGCTGCCCACATGCTGGCCAGTGCTGCAGACTCAGTCTTCAGAGGGCAGGAGGCCGCATGCCTGTCCCCTCACCTGTCACAGCTCCAAACTCACGACAGTTTCACTTCCCCTTCTTTCAATCCTTGTCAGGTTGACACCTTCCTTTGCAAAGAGGCCAGAGTGTTAGGTCCCCTTTAGCCAGTATGAAGAGTTACACTAGGTGGTAGGACTTGCCTAAAACCATGCCCCCTTGTTTTTCGTGGCCCATGTATATGTTTAAAAATAATCACTTTACTCTGGAGAATGAAACGAAAATATTGCCTGTCAACTGATCACTGTGCTTTAAATGACACTGCATGGACCGTGTCAAATGTGGGCAGATCAAATGACTTTAATTATATGTTGTTAGGTTTTCTTGTCTTCCATGAATGTATGAAGGAAATTAGCCTATAGCTGCCATCAGGCTCACTGTGGGACTAATTTGGGAAAGATTTTGGCATATAACATCCATTTCTGGAAGGAAGGACTTTGGGCTGCTCTCTGGTCGGTGAGCCTCCCCTTTGCCTGGTGGTGTCGCCTGGGGTCCTAGGAGCCTCCTACCCGTCCGCAGGAAGGAGAGGCGAGTGCCTGGCCCTGGGTGCCTGCCCTGGTTGAGTCTTCACCTTGGATGGGTTTCAAGCTGTCAGGCCTTGCAAAGAGTCCACCTCCGTGGCCAGGAACGCCGTGGTCTTCAGGGGGAAGGCTGGGTCCCACACCTCGCCCGTTGTCAAGTTCCAAGTTCCCAGAGCCACTGGCTGCTTTTGTGTCCCAGGTTGTCATGCAGGGGGTACGCCTGCCTCCCCCAGACTGGTCTGTGTGCCTGGCTGAGGCCTCGGCCCACCCACCCTGTGCTGTTGCAGCCCCTCCATGGTCGGCACTCACAGGCCCGTGGTGGGCGGTGCGCCTGTGCCCCACCTCAGGCCTGAGCTGCCTCGGGCCCCTGCCCTCCTGCGTCTGCGGCGTCGTCCCCTAACCCTCTCTGTTCCCGCGACTGCCTCTCTCCCCTGGGACTTGTGGGCTCTGGAAACACCTTCCTTGGTCACACCGACCAGCTCAGTAGCTGCCCTCGCTGTGCTCACATGCTCGGGTGCTCCTGTCCTTCTCCTTGGAGCTGGGCATGCGGAGTGTGAGGTCAGGGAGGTTCCTGCCTGCAGGTGTCATCCTGGCCTGGCCGGGAGATGGTGCAGGATAATGGCAACTGAATTGCCTCCAAGCCCTATTGTCCCACTGAAGTCTTTGCGAAAGAGTGATCGGTGACTCACTAGCCGTCTCTGCTTGTTAGAGTTGTTCAGAACGCAGTGAGGGCGTGGGTCTGTGTAGGTTACACAGAGGAGAGCTGTGCGGACTGAGGACTAGAGAACCTAAGGAGGTGTGCAATGGGCAAATTAGGTGTCGGTGTCACCTAACGTGAAACATTAAGCCAGACAGAGTTATGCGCATAACATGGAACCTTGGAGGCATACTTTATTTTTGATCCTGTGACAAACTGGATTTGGTAGGAGGTGACTGTACAAGTAGTCTAGATATGGTCCAATCCTTATGGTTCTTTTCTTTTAGTGGCTAATACATTTATCATAATTTCATTTTTAAAAAACAAGGAGTTCATACTCAGCTTTTCATTGAGACACGGTAGCTGCTCGGTGCCTGTATAGGCTGCCCTCCAGCTGACTGGATGGGAGGCAGGTCCTGTCTCTGTGTCTGACCAGCACCGAAAGGCGGGTGAGCCCCAGGCCTGGTCTCCTACTTTGCTGGTGCTTTGTGCTCCTGGGACGTGGGTCTTGTCTCATTGAGGTGACAGGCCCGAATCCCTGCTTGCCCCCGTAACTGGGCAGAGTGTGGTCCAGCATGCCATTTGAAACCTGGCTCCAGCCCAGGATTAGAACGGGCCCTGCTGAAGTGGGCGGCGCGAGGTCCAGTCACGGTGGAACCTAGAGAAGAGAGAAGAGTTCAGAACCAGGCACTGGTTCCGGATGTTCATCTCCACGTGGATGTAAAGGATGCAGCGGCATGGATGCCACCTGGCCGGGAACAGTCTGGAAAGACGGCTGGATGGCACGAGCGTGCTTCCCTGTCTGTGCTGGGGCCTGCCCTCGCGTGCCCTCGGCTGCAGTGTAAGCCGCTGACCCTTGAGCCGTCGGCACTGGATTCCAGCCAGAGTCCCTGTGTGTGCGTGTGGCGGTGTGCTCCGGGCTCGAGTGTGGGGAGGTCCTGGCTGTTGCGGTGGCACAGCGGCTCGCCGTGTCCAGCCAGATGATCGGTCTGCTGGGAGCCCAAGTCCCGCTGCTGGAGCCCTGCCTTCCTCGGCAGCTCCCTCCCTCTGTGGCGGTCAGCCAGTCCCTCTGGGCCTCTCGTTTCCATGGGGCCGTGCTCCTCACCGTCAGGGACAGGGCACCGCTTCTGTGAGACCCCGCAGGCTGTCCACCCCTCTGTGACCACGGCCCGTGCAGTGAGGGCTGCCGCCAGGGGGCACAGAGGGCCCTTGGCTCCCTCAGCTGCCCAGAGCCAGCGAGGAGCCACCTCCTTCCTTTGCTGTCCTCATCCCAGAAGGATACAGATGGCGCTCTGTCACGCAGGAGGTGAAATGCTGGCTCCCCTCCCATTTCACTGCCTACTTTCCTGTTGCTTCTCCTCCCACGTCTATGGGTGGAGGTGGGTGTGGCTGCCGCCCCTGAGTCTGGGCTGTTTTAGTCTGACTTCAGCTGGTGCAGCTTCCCAGGCTCCCCGTCAGACCTGGTGTTGCCTGGTGCCCAGCGGGCCCCTGGCTGGGAATTGGCCTTCCCGGAGGTGCTGATGGGCTTTGTGCCAAGGAGCCTGCAGAATGCCAGTCAGGCCCAGTCATCTCTGAAGTCAACTGGAGAAACTGTGTGCTAATAACCCTGAGTTGAATATCTGTGTGTATTCACCATTATTTTACAAAGTTTCTTAACCACAAAGTACCATTTCTGTTTTTTTCCTAATCAACTAGGTAGACATTGGCCAGTTGCAGTATGCTTACAAGCCTGTAAGAGTCCTTTATGGGAACAGGAGGGGGGTCACAAAGGTGGCACTGGTGCTTAAGAGGGGAGCCAGTGCTGCCTTGAGCCAGAAAAGGAGCAGAGGTGCTGGTTCAGCTGGTGGGTCTCAGAGCGGGAGGCTGCTTCCCCTCCCCGAGCCTCGGGTGCTGGGGCCTCTTCCTGCCCCGGTTCCTCATTCTGTAAAATGGAACGGGTGGTCCTCTGCCTCCATGTTGCCCCCTGGCCAGGTTTTCCCGGGAAAGCACTGTCGGCCCTGCCGGCGGGCTCTGTGGCAGCTCACACACTCCTGTGCTTTGTTTCTGTTCTAGGCGGCTTTGGTCACCTCTCCGTCCAGCGTGGCGTGTATGCACACGGTCCGCTGGGCTGTTTGGAACCCCTCGCTGGAAGCCAGCTCTGGGAGGGTGACCTTACCTCTGCAGGGTGGGACCCGGCCCAACCCCTCCCGCTGTCTGGTCTACAGGGTGCCCCCAGCTGGCATGAGCTCTGAAGAGGTAAGTCAGTACAAGTTTGTAAGGATTTCCCATGTGTTCTGGCAAGTTCATGTGTACTCAAACTGGAAGTTGACAGAGCTGTTGGCGGGTGTTTCATGAACAGGATTTTTCTGCGTGGTGAGCATGAAATGCGAGTGCTTACAGTGCTGCAGCTGCCTGCGGGCTCGCGGAGGCCTACCCTATCTTGGGTCTCCTGACGTCCCCACTCACATCTCAGCCTCTCGAGATGACCTGCAGGGCCCCATACAGTGAGATGTCTTTTTAAAGGACTCCTGAAGTGTTTGCTGCACGGGGTGATGGGCTGTGTGCTGCGGGGGCGCCAGTGCTTTGGGGGGGCCAGGTGGCCGTGTCCCGACTCGTCTTTGTGGCTCATCACTTACCCGCTGAACCTCCGTTCACTGGCTGTGTGCAGGGGCAGTGGGACCACAGCAGTATCATTATAAATCCATTTTTAAATGAAGTTTTCTCAGCACCCAGTACAGAAAGCAAATAAAAGTGGGGCAGGGCCAATTGATGTGTGCGTGAGGTCACCCCTGGCTTCTGCTGGCCCACTGGCGGCCTCGCAGAGTGGGCAGTAGTGACCCCGGGAACCACAGCCACTGTGAATCTGCGGCTCTGGCTGGCGCTGAGGTGCATCGAGGCAGGTTTCTGTCCGGGTCTGTGCTTCTGTTTTTCTGCTTACATTCCTGAGATAAGCTCCAGCCTATTTCAGCGGTATGAACAGGAAGCTTTTAGACTCAATCGACTCATTTTTCTTGGGTACAGGGACCATTCCTGTCATTTCAGTGCGGCATCTGTGTGCTGACTAGCGACAAACATCATTTTCAGTGTTGTTATTTATGATCTGGGTAATGCTTTGGGGACCAGGGAAAGGGAGCAACCGACTATGCGGCATTCCATTACAAGGAACGTCTGTTATGGGCTGTATTTTGCTACATTCCCACGTGGTCCGTTTGAGCCCTCAGTAGGAAATCGCCATTAGAAATCCTGAAGCCATTGCCATTTTTTCTCTCTGTATATCTGTACATGAATAAACATTTATTCTATTTAATTTTAGCCTTCATGTGCTACCGGCATTTCCTTCACTTTTTAAGCGTGTGAACTGTATCGGGGCAGAAGTGTTTTGAAGGTCTGACCATCTTAAGGATACAAATAAATCAAATACTGCCATTTTTCACAACGACTCTCACTTCTAATTGGGTTTCTCAGCTTCAGCACTGCTGGCATTTAGGTCAGATGATTCTTTGCAGTGGGGGCTGTCCTGGGCACGGGAGGATGTTCAGCACCAGCCCCGGGCCCCTCAGGGGCTGGCGGCATGCCCCAGTGTGACAGACAGCCTGAAATGTCTGCAGCCATTCCCAGGGGTCTCCTGGGGGCAGCATTGCCCCTCACTGAGCACTGCTACTCTACACAGATATAAGTAACTAAAAAAAATAATGAGCTAAAACTGGTCACACACTTGATTCAGTCTCCTGTGTTTTTCACGCGCTCCTCTGCTCCTTTCCACATTTCTCGTCTTACATGACAGTGCCAGCTTCTGTTGAGTCAGGTGGCGTGGAGACCTAGGTATGCCTGTTCTCTGCTCCTCCACCACTTAATTCTTTATCGTTTCATTCAATGAATTTTTATTGAGGCTTATGTATACTCTTGGAAAAATATCCCCCATCCCATGGAACTTATATGTCAACTATAATTAAAAAATACTTTAAAAAGACATTCTTAGATGAGCTAAAACTAAGGGAAATCATTGGTAGTCGACATGTGCTTAAAGAATTGCTGATGGAATTTCTTCAGACTGGGAAGCAGTGATGCCAGACGGGAACTCGGTACATCAGGAGCGAAGAAAGGGCAACATGAATGATAAAGATGATGCAGTATTCTCCTCCTCTTTTCTTTAAAACATGTTTAATAGTTGAAGTAGAAATTTCAACAGTGCCTGATAGGATGTTTAAGGTATAGAGATATAGTAGATAAGACAACCATAATATATAGAGAGAGGGTAAAAAGACATACATATGGTGATAAGGTTTTTGCATTACACTTGAAATAATAAAATATCAGTTCTGAATGAATAAATATTTACATTGTAGACCCGAGAGCAATCACTAAAAATAAGATACAAAAGGATAATAAAAACCCAGTACATAGATAAAATGGAATAATTCAAAAGAAGGCAGGAAAGGGGAAATAGGAAGGGAATAGGAACAGAAGGAATAAATTAAAGAAGTGATAGTCTTGAATACCAATAGTTACACAAAAATGTCACTAGTCTAAGCATACCAGTTTAAAGAAAGAAATTGTCAGGTTGCATAAAAAAATCGAAGTCCAACTATATTCTGTCTGCTTTCAAATACAATAATGGAGGTAGATTAAAAATTAAATAATGGAAAAACATTCCATACAAACACTAATCAAAAGAAGACTGGGGTGGCTTTATTAATGCCATACAAGTGGACTTGGAGCAAAGGAAATTTTCAGAATTAAGAGAGATATGACATATGATAAAATAGTCAGTTCATCAAAGAGACAGAACAATCCTGAAAGTATGTACATCTAACATAGAACTTCAAAATACATTAAGCAAAAACTAATAGAAATGAAATGAGAAATAGAAAAATTTGGTTATAGTTGGAGACTTCAGTACTCCTCTCTCAGTAAACTATGAGCACATAGAAAATCACTAATGATGTAGAACTGAACAGTATCAGCGGCCGTCTGCATCTAAATGACTTTTAAGATCACTCAACAGCAGGAGAATGCACATTCTTTTCAAGTACAAATGGAACATTCACCAGAATAGACTCATAAAACACACTTTGATAATCTTAAAATAACTAAAATTATACAAGGTATATTCTATGATCATAATGCAATTAAATTAGAAATCATAACAATATAAAAAATTACACTTTGCAATGAAGCAATACATTTCTAATATATTTCTAAATAATCCATAAGTCAAAGAGGAAGCCTCAAGAAAAAATAGAAGATATTTTGAACTGAACAAAAATGAAAATATATCAGAATTTGTAGGATGCAGCTAAAGCATGCTTACATGGAAATTTATAGCATCGAGTGCTTATGTTAGAACAGAAAAAAGGTCTCAAATCAATAAGTCTTCTACCTTTAGAAACTAGAAAAAGAAGTGGAAAATAAACCTAAAGCAAGCAGAAGAAAGTCAGTAATAATGAGCAGAAACCAATGAAATTGCAAACAGAACAGAGAAGAAAAGGAAAACCAATGAAACCAAAAATTGATTCTTTAAAAAGGTCAGTAAAATTGGTCAGTATCCAGCAAGACTGAAAAAGAAATGACAGGATACAAATTACTAATATTAAGAATGAGAGAAGAGTGATCACTGCAGGCCCAACAGGTATTGAAAGGGTGTGAAGGGAATACTATGAACAACTCTGTGCCCATAAATTAGACAATTTAGGTGAAATGGATTAATTCATTTTAAACTATCTTAAACTGTTCAAAACTCACCTAAGATGAAGTAGATAACCCAAATAGTCCTGTAACCATTATAAAAGTTGAATTGATAGTTTAAAAACTTCTGAAAAAGAAATATCCAGGCCTATTCACTATAACCCTATGAACAGCTAAAGAAGAAATAATACCAATTTTTCTACAATCTCTTCCAAATAATAGAAGGATGGGAACAATTCCTAATTAATGTAATCAGGCCTATATTACCCTGATATCAAAACCAGAAAAAGACAATACAAGAAAAGAGAACTATGGACACACATTCCTATGAACATAGATGTAAAGATAGTCAACAAAATTTTAGCAAATTGAACCCAACATATGGGAAAAAAAAATACCACAACCATGTAGGGAATCGCAGGAATGCAAGGGCATTTTCTTTCTGAAAATCAATAAATATAATTCATAATAGTAACAGCCTAAAGAAGGAAAATAGTATGACTATAGCAATTGATGCAGGAAAAGCATTTGACAAAATTCAACATCCATTTATGCTTAAAACTCTGAGCAAGCTAGGAGTAGAACCTCCTCAGTCTGATCAAGGGCATCTACAAAAACCCTTTAGTTAACATCATACATAATGGTGAAAGACTGAGACATTCCCCTTAAGATCAGGAACAAGTGAAGGATGTCTACTCATAGATTCAAAATCTTATTCAACACTATCCTGGAAGTTGTAGCCAGTGCAATAAGGCAAGAAAATAAAATAAAAGACACACAGATTGGAAAGGAAGAAACAACTGTGCTTATCTCCAGACTTCATGATTGTCTGTGCTCAAAGGATCTACAAAAAAAACAAAACAAAACAAAACAACAACAACAAAAAACCCTAAAAAGCAAAAAACAAAAAACTCCTAGAAAGAGTGAGTGAGTTTATTAAGGTTGAGGATACAATAGGAGGTCAAGATAGAAAAATCAGTCATGTTCCTATATAGTAGTGATGAAGAATTGGAAAACAAAATTTAAAAAACAGTATATTCACAAAGCCTTTCTCTCAAATAAATCTAACAAAATATGTACAGGATCTGTATGATGAAAACTATAACATGTTGCTTTTGCGTCATGCCATTATTCTCATTGTGGTTACTCCTGGTGAAATCAAAGAACACCTAAATAAATTTAGAGACATAATAACTTTACGGATCAGAAGATCGAACATAATAAAGACAAATTCTCCCTCTACAGATCTCTAGACAATGCAATTTCAGTCAATGTTTTGGATACAGACAAGCTGATTCTAAAATTTATATATAGAAAGGCAAAGGGGTTAGAAGCGTCAAAACAATTTTGAAAACAAAATTAGAGGAACCATTCTTCACAACTTGAAGGCTTATAATAAAGCCACACAATCAATATAAGGTGCCGTTTATGAAGGAATTGCCACAAAAATGAATGAAACAGAAGAGAGAGTCCAGAAGTAAATCAGTTTGGCAGTTTGCTATAAAATTAAATATACACATACCGTATGACCCAGCCATCATCATCTTAGAGAAATGGAAAGTTAGATTCCTATAGAAGCATGTACACCAGTGTTTTAGCGGTAGAGGAATGAACTATTGATATGTACTACCGCTGGGTGAATCTCATCAGCTTTGTGTTAAGTGAAAGAAGCTGGTCTCACAGGTTGTGGACCATATGATTCCATTTATATGACATTCTCAGAAGACCACAGTGCTGTAGGATCAGGTGAGGCAGGAGGGACTGCATGGGGGCAGCACCTGGGAGTTTGGGGGGATGGAGCTGTCTGTACCCCGATTGTGGCGGTGGTTACATGTGTTACAACTCAAAGAACTTACACAGCAAAATTTAAGAGGTCAGTTTAACATGGGTTAATTAAAAAAAATCAAATGCAGAGAAATGTGATTTCCACTTGTGTAAGGGTCATTGCAAGATAATGCAGTCTTCTGGGATTTTTATGCCACAGTTGATTGTTTTCTGTTCAGAAAATTATGTGATTATAATCTAAGAACGTGTGGTTTCAGAAATCCTTGATTTTAATTAGACTTTTAGGGTGGGACAAATTGTTCCTGGTTGAATTGTTATCATCTGGGGATACCGATGAAGGCAGCGTGGCCATCATTGCTCTGTTGTGTCAATCACAGGTGAAGCAGGTGGAGTCGGGGACAGTCCAGTTCCAGTACTCGCTGAGCTCTGAAGGACACCTGGACACACCCACAGGGGGTGTCAGCAGCCCCAAGGCACTTCGGCCCTCTGGGAAGCCATCCACATCCCCTTCAAGTAAGTGTTTGCAGAGAGCTGACTCTTCAGGCTCACAGCATAACTTCCATCTGTGCCCAAGGAAAACTGCTTAGTCCAGTACAATAACATTTTTCAGCTAATGGCCACAGATTGCTTTAATTTGATTCGGTTGGGTTTTTGCTAATACAGAGGTGTAGAACTGGGCAGTGATAGGGTCTGGCCCAGGACTTTGTCAGCCACGGATGAGCTCAGTTACTTGCAGCTCTGTGACCAAGGGCCTGTAGAAGGTTCTGCTGGAGACATCTGAAGGGGCATGTCACGTGGGTGTCCTGTGAACCTGGGGCTCAAGAACCAGAGGTTGACTGAAAGCCATGGACTGCCATCTCTGTTTGTGCCGTTCATGTGTCATGTGTGTTGTTTTGAGAAGGCGCTTTCTGTTCCCTTGCAGCTCTGAGAGGCTTTACGGGAGGGAGTGAGGGCTGAGCACCGATACGTCCTTTCTGTGGGTGGCTGTGGAGTGACTCCAGCTGCTGGCTCTGTGTTTGGCTGGCCCAGAACCTCCTGCTGTGGCCGGTTCCTGGTGCTCAGGGCCTCTTAGTTCATGCCTGAGGGCCACAGGCTGGCATCCAGACTGAGCAAAGAGAGTGGAAGTTCGGGCGAGTGCTGCAGAGGCTCAGCTGTGCAAGCTGCAAGCTCTTGGATCCAGGCTTCTAGACATCTCGCCAGCTGAAAGAATGTTCTAGATCACAAGTGATTAGTCTTCTGGCAAGTCAGGAAGCTAGGGAATGAGCACATGTGTAAGCCCACAGAGGGGTTATACTCACCTATCCTCCGATGGCTTGTCCTCTGTCCAGAGAGGCCTGCCGGCACCTAGTGCCAACTTGTAGTGAGTCTGTCATGTGGGAGTGATTTTTTTAAGGGTTGAGATTCCAGTTTATGGAAACTGGTCTCATTGAATTTAGTTTTACAGTTTGTGGACGTGGTACACTTATTTCTTTGGCCTAGAACTTGATATGCTGGCCTCCATCTTCATGGTCTTCCAGGATTTTCTGAGATACCTAAAAATACTCAGGTACCAGCACTTCATAGTTGACTGCTTTGGGACGAACCGTGCCAGTAAGTCTTCTCTTTCCTTTCTTTCTTGTGGGTGTTCAGTGGCTTTATTGCTTCACTCCCAGCCTGCGAGTATCCAGGTGGTTCTCAGGGTCACTGTTCACACTGCTATTAGTGACCCCGCCTGTGAGAGGCGCTGAAGGGCAGAGCGCTGGCTGTGCTGGAGAACTTGCCAAAAGATCGCCAGAATCCCCCCCACGGGTCGGTGGTAGGCCGATGGCCCAGAGCTGTCCTCTGAATGGTTTTTTGCTTGGTGCTCACTGAGCTTCTTGGGTCTCTCAGTTTAGAGTTTTCATCACATTTGGCACTTCCTGTCAGGACCAATTTAGAATGAATTCCCAATTTTATTTGATAAAGTTGAATGCATTGAAGGCTTAGAATATATAGTTTAAAAATACCAACTAAAGGGTCAAATTTATTTTTAGCCCATTCCCTTCTTTAAATCTTTCCTTCTTTGACATACACTCCTAGTTGCATTTTAAAAATAAAAAACAAGTACTAACCTCTAAGAAACATAAATATGAAAGATATCCTAGATTATCCAAATAAGTATGTTTTGTGATTATGTATGAACATGATTTCTCTGGTTCTTGATTAATTTACTCAAAAGGCCAATAGTGAAATATAATGAAGATAGTTCACCCATGTCTGTGGAAATGCTGGAATAGACCATTTCCTTAGAGAATAAACCTGTACAGCTAGCTTTAAGAGAAAAATGAAGTTACCTTTTCTGGAAAGGAGTTTTCAAGTTTGACTTATGATGTAGTTGTGGTTCTGGAAACCAGGAGCTGGTTGTGTTTGAAGATCTGATCCCGTCAATCATGAAGTGTGGTGGGCGACCCTGTCATTTGCTTTCGTGGCCTGGGTCAGCCGTGGACCTGGTCTGTAGGCTCCTGACTTTACTTCCCCAGTTGAGCTCTTTTCAGGAGGGCACTTGAGATTTAAACCTTAATCTGCCACTGCCCCCATGGCCCAGAGCTGTCCCTCTGAATGGTTTTTTGCTTGGTGCTCACTGAGCTTCTTGGGTCTCTCAGTTTAGAGTTTTCATCACATTTGGAGAAGCTTTGATCGTTATTTCTTCAAATACTGCTTCTGTCTTCTGCTCTCTCCTCTGCCAGTTGTCCCCCAGCTTGCTGACGTTCTGCTCACGTCTGTCTGTAATCTTTCCTTGCTGTGGTCCAGTTCAGGTGGTTCCCATCCCTGTTTCCTTGTTCTTTCTTCTGCAGTGTCTCATCTGCCATTAATCCCATCCAGTGCATTTTTCCATCACAGACACTAGTTCTCATCTCCAGAAGTTCTGTTTGGTCTTTAATATCTTCCATGTCTTGATTTAACATGTTCAACATTTCACCTAGCTTTTTGAGCATGTGAAATATAGTTGCAGTTATTTCTTATCTTAGTTTGCTATTTCTAATAGCTTTGTCCGTTCTGGATCAGTTTTGATTGATTGATTATTGTTCAAATTAGGATTGTATTTTCCTGTTTTGCATTCATTATTTTTGATTGGATTACAGATATTATTAATTTTCTTTTATTAGGTGCTGAATATTTTGATACAGGCATGCCTCGTTTTACTATGTTTCACTGTCTTGCACTTTGAGGGTATGCCATTTTTTACAAATGGAAGCTTCGTGGCCGCCCTGCATCGGGCAGCTCTACTGACACCATTTTTCCAACAGCACCTGCTCACTTTGACTCTCTGGTCACATTTTGGTAATTCTCACAGTATTTCAAAAGGTTTTCATTATTATTATGTTTATTTTCATTCTTCTTATTATATTATTATATTTGGTCATCTAGGATCAGTGATCTTTGATGTTACTGTTCTGATTGCTGTGGGGCTCCATGAACTGCGCCCATATAAGATGCCAAACTTAATCAATCATTGTTGTGTGTGTTCTGACAGCCCCACTGACCAGCCCCACTGACAGTTCCCCTCTCTCCCTCCTCGGGCCTCCCTGTTTCCTGAGACACAGCGATATTGGAATCAGGCCAGTTAATGACCTTTCAGTGGCCTCTAAGTGTTCCAATGAGGAAAGAGTCACAGGTCTTTCACTTGAAATCAAAAGCTAGAAGTGATTGACTTAATGAGGAAACATATCGAAAGCCGGGATCGCTGCGATCTCGTGACGAAACTTGAATTAGGTGAGGGGTTGCTTCCTGTGGAGGAGCAAAGAAAGTGGTTTCTTGAGATGGAAACTACTCCTCACGAAGATGCTGAGAAGATCGTTGAAACGACAACAAAGGATTTAGAATATTACGTGAACTAAGCTGATGAAGCAGCAGCAGGATTTGAGAGGAGGGACTCCAACCTGAGAGCAGGTCCACTGCGAGTAAAATGCTATTGAACAGCATTGCCTGCTGGAGAGAAGTCGCTGATGAGGGAAGAGTCCGGCGTGCGGCACACTTCGCTGATGCCTTGTTTTAAGGAACTGCCACAGCCCCTCCAGCCTTCCGCAGCCAGCACCCCCATCAGCCAGCAGCTGTCAACGCTGAGGCGCCGTCCCCACCACAGAGAGATTACAATGTGCCCAAAGCTCAGCTGGAGAGCATTTGAACAATAACGTATTTTTGAATTAAGGTGTATACATTTTTTTAGACCCAGTGCTGTTACACACTTAATAGACTACAGGATGGCATGAACATGACTTTATGTGCACGGGGAAACCACAGCGTTCATTTGGCTTGCGATGTTCACCTTACTGTGCTGCTTGCTTGGTCGCAGTGGTCTAGGGCAGAACCTGCAGTGTCTCGGAGGTGTGCCTGTATTTGATAAATACTTTGAGCTTTGATCCTTTTGGTCTTGCCCTTGGGATTTGTTAGATGGGAGCAGATCACCATTTAGTGTAGGGCCAATTATTCCCCAATGTGACGACCCGTTTGGGTGCCTGACCTGATGTCCCTAATCATGAGGTTTACTAGTCTGGCCTTCAGGAAAGGCCTATTTGCATGTGTCTGGCGCTCGGCCCTGCGCGCTCCAGCGTCATCCTTGGTCTAGGGACTCTCCGTGCTGTGTTCCCTGACCACTGGCCCCCTGTGCCCTGTCTGAGTTCCCCTCCCTGGACCTGCAGACTCACTAGCGGCGGTGACCGGGGCAATCGTAGGCTTCACCTCTTCTGTTTTCTGTCCCTCGGGATCACTCTCCTGTGTTGCCTGAATTTCAGCATCTTGAAAACCATTGGTTTATGTATTTTCTCAATTTAAAAAAATTTTGTTTTGGATGGGAGGGCAGGTGCATCTGGTCACTGTTTAATCCATCCTGGCTAGAAGTGGAAGTCTTTGCCTGTGTTTCACTGTATCTGGGCTGTTGAAATCATCTACCCCAGGGCTGATAGTCCCATGCTGTTCACTACTTGTGAATCACTGTTCCTGACTGAGTCTTGGCTCACATTTCTGCCTGGAATGTACCTCCCTTGTACACTGCATTAATTTTCTTCTCCTTTTTTAAATTGAAAGTGACGTAGTCAAGAATAGCCAAGGCAACTTTAAAGAGAAGAGACCTCACCTTTCTTGAACTGTAGACTCACCATAAAGGTCTAGTAACTAGAACAGTATGTCATTGCTGCAGAAATAGGGTAATACCAGGACACAATAAAAAGTGTTATATAGGACAAATTTCAGATAAAGAGTTTATTAGTGCCCTAGTATTGTTATATGAATTATCATGAACTTGGTGGCTTAAAACAGAATGAACTTATTGTCATATAGTTCTGGAGATGAGAAGTCCTGCACGGGTCTTACAGGCTAACATTAAAGGTCTCGGCAGGGCTGGTTCCCTTTGGAGGCTCTGGGCGTATCTGCTTCCTGCCTTTTCCAGCTTCCAGAGGCGCCTGCACCCTTTGGCCCCTTCCTCCATCTTCAAAGGCAGCAGGGCAGCATGCTCGCATTTCTCTCTGCCTCTGGCCCTCTGGCCTTCCTTTCAAGGA